CAGCAGGACAACTCATCTTGAAGAAACACACATACAACTCTCATCTGGTTCCCTAGGCCCTATTTGATCATCAGCAAGCTGCAATGTGCTGGAGCTCCTGTCCCAACCAGGTTACCACAGGTGAGCGTGACTCATTTAACCTCACGTGCTACCACCACACTCAAGGGTACCTGTCAAATTCTAAAACCTTGAAGAGCCGCTCACTTGGTATCCACAGGCCTTTACAACCTAAACCCATTTCAGAAAAGCTAAAATCATCCCTCTGTGGCTCCCAATCACTTTCCCCCACTGCTTGCTATTAATGCAGGGAGATAGGAAATGAGCAAGGACATTTCCACTTTTTGCAGGTAAAAGTGTAAGTGGACTCTAGCAATGTCAGTCTATTCCTTAGACTGTTAATAAAAAGCAACTTATTCTAAAAATTTACCCTAACCATTTGGCTATGTGTAGCAAGTCTTTGAAATTCATCCAAAGGAAATAATGTCAAGTATAGAAAGGATTTTTGTTAAAGCGCTCCTCACAGCGCCACTAAGAGTGGTGAATAACTGGAAACACCTAAAGGTTTCATAGTGTGAGTATGGTTAAATAACCACGGTAAATCCACAGAATGATGTTTCATTCCCATTCAAGTAAGGTACACAACAAGGATTTTCACCACCACCATAATTATTTAACCATGTCTTGGAGGTAACAGCAATGCAATTAGCACACACCCCCCCCCAAAAAAGGAAAAATTAGAAGAGTATAGAACTGAAAAGGAAGAAGTTATCACTATCTGCAGATAATTCTATACCTTAAAAAAAAAGAGAGAAAGAGAGAGAATCAACAAAAAAACTACTCCAAACAAAAAGAATTCTGGAAAATCCTATGTTTATAAGCAATGTAAATTGATAAAGCCACTATGGTAAACAGTATGGAGGTTCCTTAAAAAACTAAAAATAGAATTACCATATGACCCAGCAGTCCCACTACTGGGCATGTACCCAGAGAAAACCATAATTCAGAAAGACACATGCACCCCAATGTGCACTGCAGCACTATTTACAATAGCCAGGTCATGGAAGCAACTTAATTGCCCATCGACAGATGAATGGATAAAGAAGATGTGACACATATATACAATGGAATATTACTCAGCCATAAAAAGGAACGAAACTGGGCCATTTGTAGAGACATGGATGGACCTAAAGACTGTCATACAGAGTGAAGTAAGTCAGAAAAACAAATACCGCATATTAATGCATATATGTGGAGTCTAGAAAAATGGTACAGATGAACCAGTATGCAAGGCAGAAATAGACACAGATGTAGAAAACAAACGTATGGACACCAAGGGGGGAAAGCAGTGGGGGGCGGGGGCGGGTGGTGGCATGAATTGGGAGATTGGGATTGACATGTATACACTAATCTTTTAAAGTACATGTATCTTTTAAAAAGAAATAAAAATAACAAGTGCTGGTGAGGATGTGGAGAAAGCAGATCCCTCAATACGCCGCTGGTGGGAATGTAAAATGGTGCAGCTACGCACTGTGGAAAACAGTGTGGCAGTTTCTCAAAAAGTTAAAGATAGAATTACCATATGATCCAGCAATTTCACTCCTAGATATACAGTTGGCGGGTTTGGGCTACACGGTCCACTTATACAGATTTTTTTCAGTAGTAAATACTACAGTACTACAATTCATGATCGGTCGAATCCAAAGATGCAGAACGGCAGATACGGAAGCTCAGATACAGACAGTCAACTGTAAGTTATACTCGGATTTTCAACTGCACATAATTGGCACCCCCGACCCCTGTGTTGTTCACAGGTCAACTGTACATCCAAAAGGTTGAGAATAGGTACTCAAACAAATACTATACACACAGATTCACAGCAGCACTATTCACAACAGCCAAAGAGTATAAACAACCCAAATGCCCGTCAACAGATGAAAGGATAAACAAAATGTGGTATATCATACAACGGAATATTATTCAACCTTGAAAAGAGCAAAGTACTGATAAGTGCTATGACATGGATGAACCTTGAAAATATTATGCTAAGGAAAGCCAGACACAAAAAGCCACATAGTGTGTGCTTCCAGTTATAAGAAATGTCCAGGATAAGTAAGTCCATAGAGACAGAAAGTAGACTGGTGGTGGAAGGGATAGAAAAGGAATGGGGAATGACTGCTTAATGGGCACCAAGTTTTCTTCACGGTGAGGAAAATGTTTTGGAACTGGATGGAGGAAGTGGTTACACAGCTTTATAGGTGTTTTCAGTGCCACTGAATCATATACTTTAAAATGGTGAATTTTCTGTTATGTGAATTTTACCTCAGTTAAAAAGTAAGAAAATTCTGTAGCATAGCTGGGTATGTACATAATTAACATTTTGTTAACAAATCTCATATACACAAATATAAAGGGGAAAAAGATCCTTTCCTAACAACAGGAACAGAAAACATAAAACATCTAAGAATAACTCAGTAAAAAATGGGAAAGAGCTATATGAAAAAAGTGCTCCCGCAGATCGCCAAAAAGTCAACGAAACAAAGAAAAAGCTTATCAGGTTCCTGGCTAGGAAGATTCAACATCATAAAGATGAAAAGTTTTGCTTGTTAATCTATTAATTTAATGAGATCCAATAAAAGCAAATTATCAACAGGACTTCTTTTTAACTAGACAAACACATTCTAACACTCATATATAAAACAAAAAAAGCAAGAATATACAGGAAATCAAAAAAAAGGAAGTAACAATGAGTGAAGAGTTCTACTAGATTTTAAAATACACTATTTCTTAACTAAAACAATGAACACATTAACATATGAAGAGTAAAACCAGTGGAATAGAACCAATGTCTAGAAATAGACCCGACTACATATGGGAATTTATTATATGAAAAAAGCGGCATTTTAAATCAGTGGACAAAAGACATGTAATTAATAAACAGTTTGGGTTCAACTAGGTAGGTAACCACAAGGAAAAATATAAAGTTGGATCCATACCTCATACCTGTATATCAATATAAATCCCAAATAGAGACAAGATCTAATTTCTTTTAAAAAATGAAAGTACAGAAGGACTAAAATAAACTATGGGAGAATTCTTTTTAACCTCAGAGTGGGAAGAGCTTCCTAATCATGACCCAAAACCCAGAAGACATTTATATGTTGTCTTGAAAATGTGATAAATTTAGCCACATAAAAATTTAAAATTCCTTCGGAGCAAAGACAATATGGGAAAGAATAAAAAGACAAATGACCGACTGTGAAAAATTTGCAACTCATACCACAAATAGAGGCTAATTTCCCTAATACGTAACGATCTCCTAAAAATCATTAAGAAACCTGAACAGGAAAAAAATGGACAAAAAACATGAATACAGTTCACACAAAAAAGGACAAAAGTAGGCTTTAAACACAAGAAAAGATGCATAAGCTCACTAATAAGAAAAATACAAATTAAAACTATGTTAAGAAAACTATTTTTTCCCTAACAGTGACACAGATTTAAAAACTTGATAACACACTGTGCTGGCAAAGGTGCAGAAGAGACACATATTGCAAGTGGGAGTGTAAACTGATTAAGACTTCTACAGAGAGCAACTTGGCAATATCTACCAAAATTATAAATGCACACATCCTCTGATGTAGTAAGAACCTTCTAGGAATTTATTCCACAAATACACTCGCACATGTGTGAAAAGATATACATATAAGGCACTGCACGTTGTTTGTAAAAGCTTGAAAGCCATCTAAAAGTCCATCAAAGGGACTATTCAAGCACAATATAATGCATCCATACACTAGAATACTATGGAGCCATTTAAAAAGATTTAGGAAGTTCCTTATGTACTGCTATGAATTAAACTCCGAGATATGTTCCATTCGAAAAGCGTGGTGCAGAACAGTATACAGAGGATGCTACAATTGTGGATAGGAAGAATGTACTCCAGCAAATGTGAAATACATGCACATACTCACATATTTGCTTGATATGTAAAATATCTCTAGGCAATTTTATGATATACTAATAACATTGGTTGCATCCAGGGAGGTAAACAAGGGTGAGAGAGTGACTTTTACTTTATTTTTTTAATTACAAAGAAAGTGCCTAATAATGTGAGGAAAGGCTTGTGAAATAATGTTAATGGCAAAAAAGCAGGAAACAAAGCTATACAAATACGAAAACAATAACAAAAATTGTTGATTCTGTGCATTTTCTTCTTTACTTTTTCTATAGTTTCCGAATTTTAGATACAAAGCATGGATTAATTTTAAAACATAAAAGTTATTTTAAATGTTTATATAAATTATATTCATGCAATCATAGCCATCAGCTGTTAGGGAAAGCAAAAGAACAATAATTTTATCTGCTGCTCTCACCTGAACTAACAAAATTAAAAAAAAAAATCAAGCCCAGAGATTCTTAAAGGCAACTTTCTATTAAAACATCACTGGTTTTTAGCTCCAGGGCACACAGCTCTCGACCTGGTTCCTGCAGGGCTGAGAACAGAGAAGAAAACGGAGGCTTCACTCACATCAGTCTGGAGATGTGCAGGCGCTTCTGAGTTGTCATTGACCCTCCGAACGCTGTCATAGTGCTCTCCGTACCGGTACGCGATGTGTAACTCCTGCACGTTGCTCTTATCCGTACCACGAATCTGCAGGCAAAGGAAGGGGAGATGCCAGCGCGGATCTGCACAGTGTCCACTTCAGAAGAGAAACGCCACTGATTGCCCAGGAAGCCCAGTCAACAGGCTCTATATAGAAGGAATTGGGAACATGACTGCGATACGTCCTAAGCAATTTTTGAATTATCTTTCTTCCATTCATATATATATGATTCATTGCGCTTTAATGTGCAACTATATGGATGTAAATCCATACGAAAATACATATTCAAAAACCAGGGGCAGATTTACCATGAAGTTAAATAAGCTTAAGTTTCAGGAGTGTTAATACCTCTGAGCCCCTCAAATGCACAGGTCCCTTCCAAGAGGGAAGGCCCAGGGGCACGGCAGATGCAGATTTGTTGGGCTTGAAACTCAAACAATTTGGGACCCTCTTCGAGAAAAAGAATATAAAATTACATATATAAAATTGCTAGAAGTCCTCCCAAGACCTTGAAGGGGGGCCCATAAAAATGAAGGACCTGACACTATGCTTCACTAGCTTCACAGTAAATCCACACTCTTTTTAAAACAAAAATAGCATTTTTCATCAAACACATACTGAGAAACATTAACAACAAATTCAAAACATCTCACTTATATCAATTTCAAAATAAAATTATATACAGTCAGGCAGTACTACTGCACTGCACAACCTGGAAGCACTACTCACAAGGTGTTCTGTGTGAATGGTGCCCCTGCAGCACAACCCAACCAGAATGATGCTCCCTGGAGTCATGCAATACAGACGCCCTGAAGGGGAGCCTGGGCACCCCCCCCAAACCACCAACTCTGCAGAAACTCTACAGTAATTCTGAATCTGTCCTTCAGAAAGCCCAGTAACTGTCTATTTGTTAAAACCCCCAAATATCAGCACCTCCTTCTTGTTTTTGCTGAAAGTCACAGGCAGTAAGATACTATTATTAATTTAAACAATATCTGCAGTCTAAAAACAGCAAAACCATGGAACAAACAGGAACTGCACAGGTCTAGAAGTCAGAACCACGCAAGTTTTCTCGAGGTAGAATATCTAGGTCTCAAAGGGCAGAGGGTCTGGTTTTGACACATGCAAAATAGAGAGAGCACCATTCATCTCCCAGGAAGGCTACTGGAAAGGAAATTAGTTGATCAGAATCTCTGACTGACATAATCCCTAAAGCACTTATATATTTAAATAATAATAACACTATATATGCATTATGAATAAGAAAAAATAACTTGACAAACAGTCACCAAATTGTGATGCTCATGGAGAAGGGGGATCACAGAGGACTTTCATTTTCTAAGTCACACGTGTCTATATTGTTTACAGAAGCATATATTCCATTTGTAGCCAGAAAACAAAATGTACATTGTGAGTATAAACCTCCTCATTATTAATGTAAGAGCTCTTACCCATGATAGTAGCAACCAATTCAGTTTCAATTCTCAAATTTTATGAGGTGCTTCACTGGGGTGGGGAGAGATGGGGAAAACCTAGTAGACAATTCCCGTATACAGGAAATGTATTTATTTTAAAAACATATACTCTGAATGTTTAGCAAGAGGACACTACAGAAATAAATGTATTTGAAAAAGAAATCTAGTTATGCAGAATTATCTTCCACAACTACCTAGATAATTAAGAAACTTTAAAAACGGTTATCAAAGGAGGAAAAGGCAACCTACAGTTACTGAGTTGGCCCTGAGTATATTCCTTCAAGAAGAGGATCATTATGCTGTATATTCAAATGATTTTGATGACTTCTGCTAAGCAGTAAAGATTTCAAGACAAAAAATTGGGACAACAAAAGAGGTAACCAGTCTTCTTGGCTCAAAGACATCTTTAGAAAGAGAGAGCCTCACTAAAAATATGATAGCTCTCCCCGGTGTCAGTACATGTGACAACACTACCCCAAAGAACAGCACATACAGATATTGTTTCCCATCCTGCTCACTGTATCCCTGCAACGTAAAGTCCTTACCAACCCATGGAGTATCTAATTTATTTTGTTGTAGTGTAATTTTTGTTAAAAGGACATTATGCCAGACACAAAAAGCTGTATACTTCCATTTATATGACATTCTGCAAAGGCAAAAACTGTAAGAGACAAATCAGATTAGTGGTTACAAGAATCTGGGAGTGGGGGGAGGAGACTAGTGACTGCAAAGGGGCATGAGGCAACTTTTTGGGGTGGTGGAAATATACTGTATATTGATAGTGGCGGTATTTACGTGACTATGTTTGTCAAAACACATAGAACTATACACCAGAGAATGGTGAATTTTGCTACATGTAAATTATATCTCTATAAATGACTTTAATGAGCAACGGCTAAGCAAAGGAATAAGCAATTTACAAAGAAATATATATGCAGGTGGTATAGGAAACCAATGAGGAAAAAAGGCCATTGTTGCCTTGATAATAATATAATATATAGGGATACACAGTGTGTGTATATATACACATATGGATGTGTCTGTGTGTGTGTAGACTTGCCTAAAACGTGTGACATTGTGATAGTCTCTTCCCAGTCATACATGCATGGTTTTAGAGTTAAGAGTGTGTGTGAATAACAGGGATATACACTCAAATGTTAACAGTAATTATCTCTGGGGAGTATGATGACTCTGAGTGATTTTTATTTGTCTTTAATGGGCTTTTCTGAATTTTGAAATTGTTCTACAATCATGTTTTACTTTCTAATTAAAAAAACAAAGTTAGAAATGCGGGAGTAGTGGAGCAGGGGAGAAAGGAAGACTGATAGGAATCACCTGACCAGTCTCCAGGAGCTGAGCCACAAAGTGAAAAGCGCTCTGAGTGCAAGGAGGACGAGTAAGGGGTGGTAGTCTGTGTACAGTTTCACCCCGACCTCTGACCTTCCGTACTCCAGAATGTTCGGTTTGATGGACTGTTTGGGAGACTAGGGTACTTTAGAATAGAATACCAAAGGTAAAGGAGGGGAAGGAAGGCCTAAGCAACTCAGCAGCAGCGTGCTCTGCCATCCCACAGCACAAACGCAACATTTGTTGTAAAATCTTACTTGCTGTAGAAAAACCATTGGAACCGCTATGTATAGCTGGGCAGGGCACAGAAATAGAGCTTGACACCCTAGGCCATGAAATAAATTTTGTTGTTCAGAAATTCTTTTTAGCAACAGCTATTATAGTGAATTTGGTCTTTGTTTTCCTCCATCTAAAAAACAAAAACATATACATGGAACAGGTATATTTCAAACTAGAATATGTATGCAAATCCTTTAAATTCTCATTGAGGTATTTTTACAAAATTATCTAAGTTATTTCCACAGGAGGCTCTCCACCCCAAACTACCCAATTAACTGACTGCTGAGTAACATTTCTGGCATTTTAAAGGTTTTTGAATTATACTTCAGACTCCATTTGTAATGCAGGGTTTAATTCCAAGCCACTACAAGCTTCCCATCTTGGGTTAAAGTTACCCTGCATAGTTCAATATCATAAGTCAAGCCCCATCATCTGAGGACATCCCCAAAGCTAATTTATAAACAAGAGCTTCACATAAATTCCTGAATAGGTGACCTACCTGCCACAAAGGGGCATTAAGTTGATGAATCACCACATTCAACTGATGATTTCTTGCGAAGGCTACAATTGCATCATTGCCAGCAAATGTTCCAGGCTTTGCCAAACTGGCCACTGCATGGAAAGAGAGAAAGAAAAATGAAGTCTTTATCATAGAAAAATCCAAATGCAAACATGCTTTGGTATAATTTAGTTCTAAATAATGAGAAACAGTGAACATACCAGAAAAAGTCCATTAGCTTTGTCAGTCTACGAATTGAAGCTGGTTAAACAGTACATAGACTCCTACTCAGAAGGGCACCAATCACTCATAAAGAAAGGATTCATTTATTCATTCCTTCAATAGACATTTTCTAAATGCTTCCTAAATGCCTAACTCTATGAGAGACATTGGAAATGTGACAATAACCATAATAGTTTGCATTAATGATGCTTATTATGTAGCAAGCACCGCTCTACTCACTTCTCATATTCTTTTAGATTTTATTAATTTCTTCTCACAAATCACTTTAACGTTTTAATTGGTTTAATTTTTTAACGTTTAATTGCTTTACAATGGTGTGTTAGTTTCTGCTATATATACATATACATATATCCCCACATCTCTTCCCTCCTGCATCTCCCTCCCTCCCACCCTCCCTATCCCACCCTTCTAGCTGCTCACAAAGCACCGAGCTGATCTCCCTGTGCTATGCGACTGCTTCCCACTAGCTATCTATTTTACATTTGGTAGTGTATATATGTCCATTTATACACTACCACTCTCTCACTTTGTCCCAGCTTACCCTTCCCACTCCCCGTGTCCTCAAGTCTCATTTGGTAGTGTATATATGTCCATTTATACACTACCACTCTCTCACTTTGTCCCAGCTTACCCTTCCCACTCCCCGTGTCCTCAAGTCCATTCTCTAGTAGGTCTGTGTCTTTATTCCCGTCTTGGCCCTAGGCTCTTCATGACCATTTTTTTTTAGATTGCATACATGTGTTAGCATACGGCATTTCTTTTTCTCTTTCCGACTTACTTCACTCTGTATGACAGACTCTAGGTCCATCCACCTCACTCCAAGTAACTCAATTTTGTTCCTTTTTATGGCTGAGTAATATTCCATTGTAAATATGTGCCACATCTTCTTTATCCATTCATCTGTCGATGGACACTTAGGTTGCTTCCATGTCCTGGCTATTGTAAATAGAGCTGCAATGAACACTGTGGTACATGACTCTTTTTGAATTATGGTCTTCTCAGGGTATATGCCCAGTAGTGGGATTGCTGGGTCGTATGATAGTTCTATTTTTAGTTTTTTAAGGAACCTCCATACTGTTCTCCATAGTGGCTGTTATCAATTTACATTCCCACCAACTCACAAATCACTTTTAATCCTCAAAACAATCCCCTGAAAAAAGGTATTATCATGTACACCATCTTATAGATGAGGAAACCAAGGCACACAGTAGTTTGCTGTGTCCAACTGTGTCCAAGGTCGCGAGCCGGTAGAGAGCAGAGCTGAGTTTCACCCCAGGCATCCTGAATCCAAGACCTTGGCTCCTGGCCACTCCATTATACAGCCTGTCACAGTTTGCCCTGAAGGAGTTTATAACCAGTGGGGATCAAACAACAAGAAAATGGACACTGCTGATGTGTAGGTGCTTTAGGAAAGAAACATGTAGTAAAGAACGTGGCCTTACCCAAAGAGAGGTCTGGCCTTTACCCCCCACTCCTGGGAGAGAACCTCTAAACCCTTGGGATTTCCCAAGTGATAGGGGTGTCTTTGTTATCCACAGTAGGTCCCTCAGCCTCAGCTGACAGCTGATGCTAAGTTTATGCACGAGGCGACTCATGGTGGACCTCTCTGGCCGTGTGATATTAGAAAGACCTGGGGGACTGGGGAGCTGGAGACTGAGTTGAACCACTTAGGCAATCGATCAATAACATCTACATAATGGAAGCCCTAATAAAAATTCTGGACACTGAAGTTTAGGTGAGGGTCCCTGGTTGCCAATACTCTTTGTATAGTGTGTAACCTTCCCAGATTCTACCATTTGGCTAATTTTGCTCTGTATTCTTTCCCTGTAACACACTACAACTGTGAGTATAACAGCCTTCAGTGAGCTCTCTGAGTCTTTCTAGCAAATTATCAAACCTGAGAGTGGTTCTGGGAAACCACAAACTTGCAGCTGGTGTCAGAAGTCAGGGAAGTCTTGTGTAAGACCGTGTCCTTAAACCTTGCAGCTTGGCTAACAAGGTGGGGAACATAAGCCAGTCTGAGCGGTGGGGAGGGGAGGTAAGGTGTACCAGATAAGCTTCTCAGCTGCGACAACTACGCTGCTTCCCAAAGGGCAGGTAAAAGAAGAGGAACGGATGATGTTCCAAGCAGAAGTGAGAAAGAGAGCGTGATGAGCTTGTGGACTACGCAGTATTGGCAGGGATTCAGAATGCTGAGATGGCAGGGTGGGGAAGCAAGAAAATATACTGGGAAATGACAAGAGAAGAGGGTAGGGAGAGAAGAAAATCACAGATCATAAGGGGCTAAGAGTTGGTACTTTCCTGGGGTTAACGGGGAGCTGCCAACAGGCATTAGACAGGGGAAGACCTATTCGATGTCCACTTAGATCACCACTCTGGCTGCAATGTGGAAAACAAACTGAAGGGGTCAGGAGGCAAAAAGTATTGAAGAAATCTAGGCAAATGGCCAAAGAGGCCTGATTCTATGAGACAGCAGAATGAGAAAAAAAAAACATTGAGGTAGAAGTCACAAGACTTAATGAATGACTGGGTATGAGGAGGGAGGGAGAGAAGGCATTAAGAACATTCAGGTTTCTGATCTGGGTATCTGTTTAGTTAGGGAAAAGATGATGCCGATTCTCCAAAGCCACAGTCTAAAGGAAAGAAAGAATCCTAAAGACACAGCCAGATGCAAGGGTAACCAGGTCCTGAAGAGTTAAGTGAGCCTTTCAAGGATTCAGTCAACAAATATGAGTGCCTACCATGTGCCAGCCACTGCCACAGTGGGGAAAAGACACAGTCCCTGCCCTCAAGAATATCATAGTATAACAAGGTAGGTAGACATTAAAAACATAACTTGGGGTTTCCCTGGTGGTGCAGTGGTTGAGGATCTGCCTGCTAATGCAGGGGACACTGGTTCGAGCCCTGGTCTGGGAGGATCCCACATGCCGTGGAGCAACTAGGCCCGTGCACCACAACTACTGAGCCTGCGCGTCTGGAGCCTGTGCTCCGCAACAGGAGAGGCTGCGACAGTGAGACACCCGCGCACCGCGATGAAGAGTGGCCCCTGCTTGCCACAACTAGAAAAAGCCCTCGCACAGAAACGAAGACCCAACACAGCAAAAATAAATAAATTAATAAACTCCTACCCCCAACATCAAAAAAAAACAACACTATAAGAGTAATAAATGTAACAAGTCTAGTCTTCAACTGACACATAGGTAGAATGTGCAGACTTCTAGGTTTCTTTTCCCTTCTGCTATGGCAGTCAGAGTCACTTCCCACTTCTATGATACTCAAACTCTTATAAAGCACCAACCAACCATCAGGCATGCACAGCGACACTTCTTGAAAACACCTTCCCACCGTACACCTAGGGCCCTGCCATACCCCCAAATCTACCACGTGAACATCACTGAAGATGTTCAAAGTGGAAGTTCAAGTCACAAACTAAAAACTCTCTTCACCTAAAATATTTTAATTGGATCAATGACACAACTCATTTTATATGGCATTAAACTCCCAAACTTGCTCCATACACCCACACTTAATTTGTAAACTGGTGACCATCTGATTAACTGGTGTCTGCTAGACAAAAAGTGACCCAGGAAGAGAACATCAGAACTCCGTGACTATGACTAGAATAAACTAAACGCTGGGAGTTTTGCTACTGTTTCTCTTTTGCTGCTTATGTCTAATGAATGAGTTCTTCCCCAGTGAGGAAAGAGAAAGGCTTTGGGATCACAGATAGCTTCCCTCCCAAATGTCTTCCTCCTGCTGCCCTCTAGTTTATTAACACTACAGCAACTTGGTCTTTCCCCCAGGCAGAAACTTCAATCTCCTTTGTCTCCCCCACTCCTCCCCTCCCCCCATCACCTCCCAAGTCCTGTCAATTATATTGCCAAACTGTGTCTTGGTCTGGACGCCACTCATCATCCCCAGTAGCTGCCTTGGTGGAGACACTCTTATGCTTTCGTCTGGCCAATGTGCAGAGCTCTCTAACTCATCTCCCTTCTCAGTCTCTCTCCCCATCCTCTCCTCTCCCAGAGTTAGCGCTCTAAAACGCAGAATGATTCTCTTGCCTGATAAGAGACAGACAAGACTGTGAGACCTGTAAGGAAAATGTTATTTGTAAAACATATAAATATCAGCACCCAGCACAGTAGATTCTCAGTAAATATCTGTCAAAATCAAAGCTTAAAAGCTAGTATTTTCTTACTAGCTTTGAGCCTATTAAGGAACTAATTTAAGTCACTAACTGACTTGCCTCAAAGAAACCAGGTTGTGTTTGGGTTTGGGGGGAAAAATTAAAATGACTTTATTGATTTTTCTGATTATAAGAGTAATGCATGATCATTTAAAAATCAGAAAAATCTATAGAAGATAATTTAAATACTCATAGTCCCATCATCCCCAGATGGCTGACACTTATTAAGAACCTATTTTAATTGTATTAACTAATTTAATCTTTACCAAAAAACCCTATAAATTAGGTCCTATTATTATCTCCCCTTAATAAAAGTGTTGAAAGAGTGAGTGGTTTCTGAAAAATAAATGGAGCCAGGAATTAACCATAAAATGTTAGTATCTTTCCAGACTTCCTAATTTGGTTCTGTGTGCATACACTTTTAAAAATAGGATCAATCTATACACACTATTTTATAACCTGCTTCCCCGCTCCCTCCCCACCACTAAATAAGAAGTCACAAATAGCTTTTCAGGTTAATTAACATCAACATTTTTTTTTCAGATTTTACTTATTTAATTTATTTATTATTGGGGCCACACCACACAGCTTGGGGGATCTCAGTTCCCCAACCAGGGATCGAACCTGCACCCTTGGCAGTGAAAGCATGGAGCCCTAACCATTGGACCACCAGGGAATTCCCAACATCATCATTTTTATTAATGGCATCTGCATCTAAACCTAAGGATTCCCAACTGCCTAGCACGCTGCCTATTATGGAGCAGACAAATAAATACTTGTTGAACAAATGAATGTCATAATTTATGTTATCAAACCCCTAGCTGGAAGGGTAGGGGATCCTGATGGATTTAATTACCCAATGCATTTACTCCTGGAGGATCCAGCGTCCCACGGTGAACCTACCGTGTTTCTCAAAAGGAATGTCATCTTCTACAAAGGGTTCAAAATCTTCTCGCTGCTTTATCATGTAGTCCACTGTCTCTTGTCGGTGCTTGAGGTGATTTCGTGAGTGTCCCTCCAACTGATCACCAAGAGCCCTGAATAGGCAATTGCTATCAAAACAAAACGCTGGTCAAGACCTTTTAAAAATGAAATTAGTTCATCTAAAACAATGACGCTTCATGCTAGGCCATCATGGAAATCTTTCACACAGAAAAGAGATAAAGCCTCAACTCTGACTGTCAAGGTTCCTCCCAGATACCAGAGAGGGGAGAGCACTAGGGAAGATATTCAATCACATTACCTTTTTGAGAGGCATCAAATAAGAATCCTATTCCCCACTTACCAGCTGGCTGACTCAGGAGAGATACTGATTCGCTGCTTCAATAAGTGAAGTTTGGTGATATACTAACCACATGAAGACAGGGTCCAGACACTATAGGCCATTCCACACCTAAGGGCTATGACTCCCAGATCCCCTTCCAAAATAATAAATCATATCTACTGCCTCTTTTCTGAAACCCTTTTCACCATGGCTGCTCAGCTATTCACCTAACAAGTACCAAAAAGATAGCTATTTGTCAAGCTCCCAATAGAAACAGCTGAGCTGAACAATCCTGTTTGAGTCCTAAGGACACAGTAGAGAAAGCTGTGGAAAGAAGAGCACCTGGACAACACACAGGCAGAGTTCACAAGGACACTCTCCCTCCTTGGCTCATCGCCTCTCACCCAAGGGCCACAATGCTGTCCTTATTCTTGCCAAATGGAAACTCTCCAAGTTTTCTTTCTGTTTTGTTTCTAAAATTAAAATGCTGGTAATAAACTGTAAGAGTTATCTTTACTTTCAAACCCCTTAAAGGCTTCTAAAATTCCAAACTATACCACAAACACAGAGCCCATATACACAGAGACTGAAACAAGACAAACACAATCTGGTATCCTCAAAACTAAGGAAATAGCCATTCTGAAGCCAAACAGTTGTCCACTTTCACACCAAACTGTTTACTCTTCCAAATGAAAACCTATGATATTCTAATTCCAAAATATAAACTCATCACACTTCTGGAAGGACTTCAAACCTAAATGTATAGGTGACGGAGGTTTTCTGTTTTTCAACTCAGAAAAGTGAGTTTTCAACAGAAAGTTATAGAGAGGTAGGAATCTCTTCAAACATATAAGGAGATATATATATTTTTTGTTTGTTTGTTTTGGTGGGGCGAAGGGGAGAATTTAGACAACACATTCTACAAACTAGAATCCAAGAAACTCTGCATCAATCTGGGGCAACGTTCTAGAAGGGACTGGAACATAACAGTTCTATATACTAGAATGAGGGGTCTGTTGCTAAAATCTAACAATGGCAGTCTTTTTCCAACCACAGGAATAAAGTAAGCTAATGGATAAGATGTTCTCAATTTTAAGCTTCTCTCTCAAACTTTTCTTAAAACTTTAACATCTGCCACCACTAGTTTATTCCTGAATCCAGTTTAAAAGAAGGCATGATTTGGTGCAAAATTACATATTTAGTTGCTTTACATTTGATATCTCAAAATTCATGGTGTTCTACAGAAAGTAACATGCTTTCCATGAACTTTCAGCAACAGAGGCAAATGTTCTCCACATAAGCCAAAAAAGTAGGTATCAAACTGTATATACTGCATGACTGCAAGCATGTTCATCTGTATACTATATACACAGATGTAGAAACACATACAAATGTATGCAAAGAAAAAGCACTGAAACCATCACTTAAACAGCTCTTACAATGTGCCAGGGACCGTTCCAAACACTTTATATGTATGAAATGTGTTTAGTCCTTACAACTCTATGAGATGGGCACTATTACAATTCCCCTAAGGTAACTTGCCCAAGGTCACAAAATCAGTAGGTGGTGGACCCAGGACTCAATCCCAGGCACCAAAATGTTAGTAACAGTTATTCCTGGGGAGTGGAATTAGGATTATTTGCTAAACTTAGTTTGATATACTTTTCTATATTTCCCAAACTTTCCTTGAGCTCACTAAAAACAAGTAGTCAAAATGAAAAATCAAGATAGACAAATCACTTCCTTTTCTGACAGAGTTACAAGATAGCAGCACATGAAATGTGAACAAACTCTACAAATAACCTAGGTTCCCTTAGGGAGCCCAGCAAGCGCACTCAGGATCCTCGTGAGAACAGTGCGGCCAGGGCCCAAAGGGCCTCTAGGAGATCCCAGCTGTTTCCTGAGTCCACACCCTCACCCAATACACTACAGCAGAGCTTCTCACCCCACCACACACACTGCTGACATTCTGGAATAATCCTTTGTCCTGTGCACTGGAAGATGTTTAGGAGCATCCTTGGCCTCTACCCACTAGATGCCAGTAACACCACTACCACCATGTTCCCACCAGTTGTAACAGCCAAAATATCTCCAGCCATTGCCAAATGTTCCCTTGGGGGAAAAATCACGCCCACTTCAGAACCACTGCACTATAGGGATATATGTAAAGTCTTGCATTTGAGTTCACAAAACTAACCAATTACATTAATTAAGGGTTTTGGGTGCTCAGTAATTTAGCATGAGAGAATACTGCAACGTTAGACATTAAAAAAATTAATGGGCTCTTAGGCTGCAGTAATGGCAGTAAGGATGCAGAAAAGTCGGGGGAGGGGGGTCAGATTTTGTTCTTTGAGGTCAGACCCCAGCTAAAGTACTGTATATGATCCTAGTTACTACATTTTAAGATAGGTTCAGATGAGTTGATGTGGCTTTAAACTAAATAATATGAAGCACATAAACAACGAGTGACTTCTAGCCTAAAGAAAGCTCAGGGGGACCATGATAGCTGCCTCCAACTATTCGTCATGGTGAAAGGGATGTTATCCTTGTACAATAAAACTAAACTAAAATAAGGAAGCTACAGGGACATAGATTTTGGCAAATAAAAGGTAATTTTATTTTAGATCTATAGAGACGGACTGCACAGACTAAGGATTTTGTACATTTCTATTGACAAGCCTCAGGAATTGCCTACATGTGTGTTATACAATATGGTTACCACTAACCACAGGTGATTACTAAGCACTTGAAATGTGGTTAATAGAAATTGAGGTGTGTTGTCATTGTAAGAGACTTACACTTTTGGACATTATTTTAAAAACTTGTTTCCTTTTACCTTTTTAATGTGGCTAATAGAAAAATTTTTAATTATTGTACATATGTGGTTCCCATTTTATTTCTATCAGACAGTGCTGGTCTCAATCACTGATTCTCCAAGTGTGACCCCTGACCAGCAACATCAGCATCACCTGAGAACTTGTTCAGGATGAAAATTCTGAGCCGCCTATAGCCCAGCCCCAGCCCTACTGGGTCAGACACTCTGGGGCTGGGAACCCAGCCATCTCTTCCCTCTGAGGGTTTAATTAGCCCTCCAGGTGATTCTGTTGTATGTTAAAGTCTGAGAAACACGAGTCTAGACTCTAGACTCTAAATCAGCAGTTCTCAATTATACGGCACACTAGAATCACATGTGGACATTTTTAAAAATTATCCCTAACCAGGCCCCAATGCCTGAGATTCTGGTGTGGCTGATCTAAGGGAGCGCCCAGGCGCTGTATTTTTTCCAAAGTTCCCCAAGTGATTCTATTGTGCCACCAAGGTTGAAAACCACTGAACCAGACACAAAAGATGAGGCTGCTGTACAGGTGATGCAGGTACTAACGGATAATCAGACAAGATGACAAAGTGTGAATGCCCTTCTAGCACTAAGATCCTACGATTATAAAAATAAGGTAAAACTTTCAAAATAAAACAACCTGAGACACAGACAAAGGGCTAAAATTAGTGATTCTTTAATGCTTTAATATTGGAACACTACTAATTAGCAATGTACTTTGAGGCTACATTTAGGAAGATACAACTGGATATAGTTCTGAGAGATGTTAATATTGTACTGCCTAATCCAATTAGCGATTCTTTTCACGCTACATCCAATCATGTTTTTAAGGACAACAACAAGGTTAAAATATTTCTTGTTTTGAAACGGAATCCAATTTATGTCCACCCTCCAGATAACACAACAAATACGAAGGCGGGCCATGATGCATTACAAAAATCCGTAAGTAGCTCCCTGATTAATCTATGCTACGTTGATTTCACGGAAAGGCTACATTAGAGAACACCAGCTAATTTCTTCCCAAGTACCCGAAGGTTCCAGAATGCTACAAGTACCATACTGCCAACAATGAATACGCCTATAGAGTGTGAGATGCTATCTCAGGCTACTCAATATTGTAATCAGACCAGAATGGAAAGACAGAAGACTGGAGATTGTCAGCTATTTTTTTATTACCATAACTTTATATTTCACCAAGGGTACTCAATAAATGCTAACAAATAAAAGAATCTGTTGAGGCCCACTAACCTGTAACATACACAGGAAGCAGCATCCACTGCACAGTGATAAAGCCTGTCATCACCATATCCAAAAGTACCACAATACTAAAGAGGGCTGAAGAGTCCATGGCACCCATGGGAAGAATTTGTGAACAGAAAGGGGTTAGCCTCACAGAGCCCCCAAAGGAGAAATTATCATTATCATTTTATCCATCTAACATTGTCCAAAGAACAGGGACGTCAGAAGTGAGAGACACGAGCATTGCAGTCAAGCTGGCCTCTGCCTCTGCAGCCCCATTGCCGCTGACTTCTACCCTTGTACCCTATACTCCTGTCATCCTAAACAACCTGCAGATGTCTCAAAAATAATGTGCTCCTGTGCCTTTACATGTACTACTCCTCAGCCTCGAATGTTCTCTTGGCATATTTTTATTGGATTTTTATTGGTCCTTCATGACCCAGTCTGAGTATGACCTCCTCTGAAAGGCATCTAGCACACGGTAGGTTTCGATGAACGTTTGATGAATGAACAAGGTTTCCCTGACCACTTCTGGGAGTGTTGGCAACTTCCTTCTCAATAGTACCACTATAATCGGTCACTGTTAAGAATATATCAACTTGCATTTTAATTATTTATATCATCCATTCTTAAAGTGTGGCCCAGTTTGGGAAAGGACGGTATCTCTGAGAAACTTTCAGGGTATCCATGAGTCCAAAACTAAGATGTTATTTATCTTTTTCACTCTCATTCTCTCACAAGTGTCCCGTGGAGTTTTCCAGAGGCTACTTGATATATGATACTCGATGTTATCACTCTGAAAGTTAATATAATGTGTGTTTGTGTATTATGTTTTTAATTTTTATTTTACTTTCTAATATAGTAAATATTGATACCTATAACCCACATAAGCAAAAGCTCTTTGGAGTTCTCAGTAATTTTTAAGAGTGTAAAGGGATCCTAAGGCCAAAATGTTTGAGACCTGCTGTTATGTCTCTCTTACTAAGCTTGAACGTTACCTTAGTCATCAATGTGCTCCCAGCATCTCTGTGCTGCAATTCCTGCTCATAAGCAATCTTCTGTTGAGTACTTCAGTTTCCTGGATACCCTGCCAGTGGGAAGCCCATGCCCAGTACAGCAGACACAAGCAAACCAATCATTTGCAAGGAAGACGCAGACCCCAGCCCAATCCCACCGTAAAGTATTCAACTGGTATTTCGGTTTATAGAGCGATGTCTTGTGCTTGTGAGTTTGCTTAGGATAAATAAGGCCCTGAATATTTATTAACTGTATTTGACAAAAATCAAGGTACTAGGCTAAAAGCAAGACCCAGCAAAGCAAGCTTTTAACTGTAGCGACTCCACTAAGAAAATGCCTCTCTGAGGGGCCCTGCTGAGGGTCTAGCTGGCCTCCCTCTATGATATTTTTATCATTCATTCATTCATTCAACAAAAATGCCCAAATGAAGGGAGGAACAAAAACAACCAGGCTGTTATTAATACTATCTCTTCAAGAGTGCCACACTCTGGCATCCAGACTCCCTTTTACCTACCCCTGCAATGAGGATGCTAACTGATCTCCTGCCCTCTCCCCTACCCTTTTTCTTCTTCCTTCCACGCTCCTGGATCCATATGCCCCTTCCTGAGGCCATTTTTCCTTCCCTTCGCCCATTCCCTCCCTCCCACCCCTCTCATTTATCCCGTGTTCCCTAAAAAAGTTGGACACAGATTCCAGTCTAAACCCTAAGCAAACTTGGGTAAGCACCATTGCTTACAGAGAAACTGAAGCCCATATAAGTAAGAATTAGAGAAGCTGCCTTCAGCTCAGTAAACAATAGGCCCTCACAGACCTAATTTCCCCAGCGTAAAAGGAGGGCAATATCCAACAGTAAGGACTCAAAGGAGGCCAAGCGTTATACCAAGTGGGGCTTACGCCTCTTTCTATTCGTCTGATGGTCATTATGACCGCTCTCCGCGCGGTCCCGCTCTTCGGCTGACTGGCTCCATCTCATTCGTTCAGGTCTCAGCTTAAATGTCACCTTCCAGGGGGGCCTTCCTGAGCACCCATCTAAAGGAGACCTGCTCCAGTATTCTCTCTCAGGACCCCTTTACAGTTTGCTTGGAGCCTTTGCCACGATTAGGGCAACTGGGGATTTACTCGAGCGTCTCGAGGGGAGGGGCCTGGCCGCCTCGCTCGCCGCCGGACCCCCTGCATTAGGAAACGGCTGGCTCGCAGCTGGCGCTCGGGGCCGCCCGATGAATGGATGGGCGAGAACCGGCGACGGTCGCCATGCCCGGCGGGTCCCCCGGCGCCGCCCCCCGCGCTCCCGGGCCCGCCTCACCCGTCCCCCGGCACCTCCCGCAGCTTCAGCCCCAGGGCCTGCAGCTGGTTGGCGAAGCTGACGAACTCCTCCTCGCAGCCGCCGCCGCCGCCGGGCTCCGGCCGGTTCCGCCGCTCCTTGGCCAGGGCCCGACGCGCCGCCCGCTCGTCCCGCTTGCGCTCGGCCTCGGCTTTCCGGCTGCCGCTGCCCGGCCGGCTCCTCGCCGCCTGCTTCCGGGACATGGCCTTGGCCCCGCGGCCCGCAGCGGCAGGAGGGAGAGCCGCAGGACCGCCGGGCGGCCGCCTCAGGTGCCGAGGAGGCGAAGCGGCGTAGGCTACGGAACCCGGCGACGGCGACGCTGCCACCCCGCCTGCGCCGGCACCCGGCACCCAGGTCATGTGATGGAGCCCCGCCCCTCCGCCCGGCTAGGCTGACAGGCGCCATAGAGAGCTCTCCTGGGAGAGCTAGAGGGGAGCCCATCTTTGTTTGTTTCGCTCCTCCCTCTATCGGTGGGTGGTACTCCAAGTGAGCAGCCGGTGGGACCAGAGAGAGCAAAGCAGGAAAAGGTCAAGGAGAGCCGGGGTACTAAAGCGCATACACTTTATTTAATCCTGGCTTTCTCTGCTTCTCTACCTTCCCTCATAACTCAGGGAGAGGCAGCCCTTCTTCAAAACTGGCTCCTCCTGTAATCTTGATTCCACCGTAAGGTGACCAGCCCAGGTTTACCCGGACTAAGTGTTTTCCAAGGGTGCAGGACTTTCAGTTTTAAAACGGGGACAGCCCCAGGTAAACCAGGGTAGTTGGTAACCCTAATCCACATCCACGTACCCTCGAAGCTAACTCCATCAGTAATCCCCTCTCTCCTGCTGTAATCCCCTCTTCTCTCTCATCCTGGACCCTCTTTCTTAACTCTCTTCCCACGGTGATGCCACTGTCTTCTCCACGTCTTGACCCTCTAACCAGTCTCTTTCACCATTTCTGGGAATGTTCCTAATGTTTCTGCCCTTAATGATGTTATTTTCTCTACCTACAAGTTCCCCTTTGGGAATAGCCTCCATTTCCTCAGTTTCAACTAATGTCTGTACTTATTTATCTTCAGTGTGTAAGTAACTCTCACTTCAGCCCCTGTGGTAGATACCAGATGTAACACTGAATCAAAGAGACATGGCGATTGCCCTCAGGGAGCCCAGATTCCAATGAGACATATGGGCAAGGACACAGCAATTTCGATACTGCATGACAAATTCTATCAAGGGTGCAGTGGGGCAAAAAAGTGGAGTGAGAAATGCGGAAAGGCTTCCCAGAAGAGCTGGGTTCTAGGCTGAAGCTTAAAGGATGAGTAGGACTTGGCCAGACTAAGACAGTTAAGAGGGGATTGTGTGTGCAATACCAGAGCTCCATTTTGAGGAACTGAAGAAAGTTCAATCTGACAGGAGCCCAGGACTTGAGCTATGAGACAGGAAATGAAAGGAAGGCCCAGATCTGGACCAGTCTTGTGGGTCCTGTGAACAGGTTTAGTCCCTCCCAGTCCTTAGAGCCATGGGGAGCCATTGAAACAGTTTAATCAGGAACTAACCTGAGCAGGCTTATGTTTAAAAAATGTCTTTGGCTCTAGTTAGAAGAATGGGTTGAAGGAAGGATGCCAGGTAGGAAGTTCCTGTAGCTATCCAAGGACAGGTGATGGTGATGGGGTTGGGGATGTGCATTGGGATGGGAGGCTGAGTCTGGGATGGAAGGGAAGAAAAGTAGATCGGAAAGATAAATTCACATGCTAGTAAAAGTTCGTGAAATGGAACTGGACTGAATTGTAGAATGTTTCACATGCTTCTCTGAAGTTGCTGAAATTCCTCCTGTACAGATCCCTCTTTTAGTCTCAGAAAGAAAGAATGTGAGTTATGCCTGGCCCCGCCTTTTCTTACACAGACATCCCAAGGCCTGCAACAACCCCTCTGCTTGTATTTAGTTAAGTTGGGAGGCAGTGCTAGGAGTGGAAAAACCACTGCGCAGGATGGCAGAGCCCCAGGTACCGGTTCAGGTCTATCGCTAACTCATTCCATGATCGTGGGTGAGTTGCTTAACATCCTTTTCCTCATATGTAAAACAGGAATAACAGTGAAGACCACATACAATCATAATGATGATAATGACAAACTTTTATGGTATTGACCGTGTTCAAGGCACTATTCTAATTGCTTTACAAATACTACCTTATTTAATCATTACAATAACCCAGTGAAATATGTGGGGTCTTTTTGAAAGAGGACTTTTAAAAATTTTTTAATAATTTTTATTGGAGTATAGCTGATTTACAATGTTGTTTTAGTTTCAGGTGTACAGCAAAGTGAATCTGTTATGCTTATATCACATATCCACTCTTTTTTAGATTCTTTTCCCATATAGGTCATTACAGAGTACTGAGTAGAGTTCCCTGTGCTATACAGTAGGTCCTTATTAGTTCTATTTTATATATAGTAGTGTGTATATGTCAATCCCAGTCTTCCAATTTATTCCTCCCCCCACTTACCCTCTGGTAACCATAAGATTTATTTTTACATCTGTAACTCTATTTCTGTTTTGTAGATAAGTTCATTTGTACCCTTTTTTTAGATTCTACGTATAAGCAATACCATATTATATTTGTCTTTCTCTGTCTGACTTACTGAAATCTGTGTTATTTTTAATTCCCACCATCTAGGTGAGAAAACTGAGGCACAGAGAGGTTAAGTAACTTGCCCAAAGTCACATAGCTAGTAAGTGACAGAGCCAGGATTTGAAGCCAGGCCACCTGGCTCCAGAGTGTATGTATGCTCTTAACCACCGTGTTATAGGACACATATAACTTTTTCATAAACTACTCTATGAAGAGTCCTCTACAAAATACCTGAATTTATTTCATTATTAACTCCCTTATACTGCCCATAATTGTTGTCAATATAGTCTTTCTACTATATCTGTTGTCAGATATCACTATTGTCTGACTTTCTAGTTAACTGTCTCTGCATTAAAGCGGATCACAAAGATTCAGAGCCTGATAGGCCTGGCTTTCTATCCTGGTTTCAGATGAGTTATTTGACTTCTGAACATCATTTTTCTATTCTATACAATGACTAAGATAACATAAGAATGAGAGGGACAGTTGTAAAGACTACATAAAAATGTAAAGCTCTAGGCCAACAGTAAGTACCAGCTTAGTGGAGTTGTTTGAATCATTCTTCTGACTGTGGAAAACCCCTGGGCTCAGGGCAAAGGGTGACATTGCAAACTTCAGACACCAGGGAAGAAGGTTTTGTCACCGCCAAACATGTGGAAAGGTGGGTGGAACATGTGGAAATATTGACAGAAATGCAAAGACTTGCCCTGTTACCAAACGCAAGTTCACGTGCCCGACGCACAGTGAGGCCAAACAAACCGAAATGTTGGAGTTCGGAGCAGAAATGTTTATTGCAGGGCCATGTGAGGAGATGGGTGACTCCTGCCCAGAAAACTGAACTCCCCAAGGTTTCAGCAAAGCATTTTTAAAGGCAAGCTGAGGGAGGGGCATGGTTGGTTTTTGCAAACTTCTTGGTGTAGGAATCCTTTGTTCTTGCAGCTGTCCACGTAGGTCGGGTCATGATGTAAACCTCCAACAAGATAAATGTTATTGTCTGTTCTACAATTTTTTATCACTGTATGAATGGAAAAGTGTCATACCCTTAAAAGTCAGAGCCTTGAGAATGGGCTGTCCTGTATATTTCAGGCTACAGGCAACATTCTTAACTGGAAGCAAAAGCAATAGGACACAAAGGTTAAAGTAAAAGAAACAGATCTAATATGGAGTCAGGTTTGTTCTTCCCTATTACAGTCCTTCTTGTAAAATCTTTTCTTGCATAAGCCCTTGACCTGTCAGGCCATGCCTAGAATTTTGAATGAGCTCATTTCTCTTCTGTCATCAGAGGCCTGTATTAAACAATGTCTCCCTTTGAGGGCAAATCAGTACCGCTTATAAATTATATCTAAAGGCCAAATGGAGGGAGGACTTGTGAATTAAATGAATTAATTAAAAGAATCATCAAACCTCATTGAGTGGCATTTAGTTCAAATTAGTTTTTTAAAAAAAGTGTGACTAGTAGAATCTTAGTGAAGAAATGCAGCTTTAAGACTTGCAAGAACATAGTATCAAGGGTATGGGGAAATGAGAAATCTCACACACTGCTGTTGGGAGCTAACCTAGTCTGGCCACTGGGAGGGCTGTCTGGGCAGTCTCTGGTAACATTTTAAATGCCCAGTGACCCAGAAATACTGCATCTCATTAACTGTCCTAAAACAAATCTTGCACACATGCATCAGGAAGTCTGTCCAAGGATATTTAAGGCATAGTGGTGAGTAAAAGAAAATCATTATAAATAGTGTAAATATCCATCAATAGGAAAATGGCTTCTTCAATTATGAAACAGCCATTTATGAAATACTCTGCAACCATTTTAAAAACTGGTGAAGGGGAAAGGAGGTAGGTCTAGATGAGTTCACATGGATAGGTCTCCTGGATGTGTGTTGGAATGAAAGAGGACGTAGTAAAGTGATCCATTCCAAGTAGCCTTTATGGAAGACAGAACAACAAAACAGAAGAACTCTATGTTTTCCACAGGTACACATGTGTACGGTCACCCCTCAGTATCTGTGGGAGATGGCTCCAGGACTCCTGCAGTACCAAACCCACGGGTGCTTAAGTCCCTATATAAAATGGCTGTAGTACAGTTGGTCCTCTGTAACCACAGGTTCCCCATCTGTGGATTCAACCAACCTTGGATCCACCATTAGTTGAATCCATGGGTGTGGGACCCCCAGATACAGAGGGCTGACTCTTCTAAATACGTAGAAAATGGTCTAGAAAGATAAATACCAAATTGATAAAAATGAGGAGGGAGGAAAGATTGAAAGTGAACTTATATGTATTTTTTTAATGAGTGCAATATGATCGTGCATTACGTATATAACAAAATTAATAAAATTATTTTTACTAGACTAGTAAAATCTATTCTTTCCTTCAAACTGAAGCCCAATAGACTTCTTTGGGGGACCTCTTTATCAGCTAAGCCAAATTGGTAATAAGCATATTGCTTTTCCCAAGAAGTGGGTATTTCTTAAGTCTTTAAGTGTCCTCAGGGGCTTCCCTGGTGGTGCAGTGGTTAAGAATCCGCCTGCCAATGCAGGGGACACAGGTTCGAGCCCCGGTCCGGGAAGATCCCACATGCTGTAGAGCAGCAAAGCCCGTGCACCACAACTACTGAGCC